TGAAGAGTCTGGTTCCAGTATTTTACTAAGTACCATGAAGAGTCTGGTTCCAGTATTTTACTAAGTACCATGAAGAGTCTGGTTCCAGTATTTTACTAAGTACCATGAAGAGTCTGGTTCCAGTATTTTACTAAGTACCATGAAGAGTCTGGTTCCAGTATTTTACTAAGTACCATGAAGAGTATGGTTCCAGTATTTTACTAAGTACCATGAAGAGTCTGGTTCCAGTATTTTACTAAGTACCATGAAAAGTCTGGTTCCAGTATTTTACTAAGTACCATGAAAAGTCTGGTTCCAGTATTTTACTAAGTACCATGAAGAGTCTGTAGGTGGACCATTGGTCCCTCTAAGACTCTCTGCTGTTTGGTCTGAACTGGAGCTGATTGGTCTTTGGTTCCGAGCTTCTGGACTCTGACATGTTTCCTCTGCTGCAGGACTACCGGGTCAACATCTTCCTCCGTCAGCAGTGGAACGACCCCAGACTCGCCTACTCAGAGTACCCGGACGACTCTCTGGACCTGGACCCGTCCATGTTGGACTCCATTTGGAAACCGGACCTGTTCTTCGCCAACGAGAAGGGAGCCCACTTCCATGAAGTCACCACAGACAACAAGCTGCTCCGGATCTTTAAGAACGGAAACGTGCTGTACTCCATAAGGTGAGAAAACTTCAGCTGTGACCCAAACAGAACAGAACCATGGAGCCGGGCCGGTCCAGAACAAAAAGCAGCTCAGGCAAAACAAAAAGAAGACAGTTTGTTTTATTCATAGACTTTGTTCCTCCAGCTTTCTTCTGATTCATTAAATCAGTTTATTTTCTAATCAAACCTGAAGAAAATCCATGATTTATTATTGAAACGTCATTTAGTACATGGTTCTGTAAGAACATCAGAGTTCTGCTCTGTAGACCAGTACCACATGGACCCACAGAACCACATGGACCCACAGAACCACATGGACCCACAGAACCACATGGACCACACAGGACCACATGGACCCACAGAACCACATGGACCCACAGAACCACATGGACCCACAGAACCACACAGAACCACAGAACCACACAGAACCTCACAGAACCACACAGGACCACACAGAACCACACAGAACCACAGAACCACACAGGACCACACAGAACCACATGGACCCACAGAACCACATGGACCCACAGAACCACATGGACCCACAGAACCACATGGACCACACAGGACCACATGGACCCACAGAACCACATG